ACTCACTCATTCACTTGTGTCATACAAAGTTTTAAAAATTCAAATTTATCGCAATCAAATTATTCAGTGAACATTTGATTATTGAAATACACACATTTGTGTTAAAATTATTCTTATTTTTTGAGAAATATATTACTCTGGAATACACTATCCATATCGTAAAGCATATAAAATTTACTCCAGATGAAGAAAAAAAATGTTTCATTTTTGAGATTTTTTTTAATTTTATTTACACAAGATCTTACTTTTTCATAGCTGAAGAGTATTATTGAAAACCCAATTGAAGTACAACAAATCTTTGAACAATGTACAATCTTTATTATAAGGTAATATATTATACAAAAGTGAAAAAAAAAAAAAATGAAAAAATGTTGATGCACTTTATGTACGTTATGGAACAGTACATGATGTATATTTACGAGAAAAAAGGAATTCATGCCAAGCATTATATCTGTAGAATTTTATTATTTTTTTAAAAGTTGAACAATTCTGAAAAAAAGGATACAATCTTCTGTTAAGGAATGAATGCTATGTAACGTTTCAAACATACAAAGATAAAAAAAAAATCCCATAAGTATTATTGCATAAATTTTATGCATAAACCTACAAACATTTCAAACAATTTAACCAAATGACGTACTAATTGTAAAATTAAAATTTTAGATATTCCTCTAACAATCATACTGAAGAGGATTTTAATTGATAACAATAACAAAAAAATTATTACTATTTTGAAATATTCACAGTAAAATCAGGTTGCTTTGTAATTATCAAAAATTTCTACGTAAATATTAATTTAATGACAGAGAATTTGCAAGTTTATAGAAGAGTAATTAAGTACCTTTATGTATATATAACAATGTACCTTTTGTACAGTTTAAATTAGTATGTATTTGTATTGTTATGAAAAAAAAAAAAAACAGTAAGTCAGCATCATAGATTAGAGAACAGAGCTTCTTAAACTTGTGATGTTTTTTCGATTTTGGGTAGACTCTTGCTTACTTAATATGGAATTTTTGCATATTCATATGTGTTTTTGACAGCTGGTATATTGTGGTAACTCGCTGCTACTTTAAAAACATTTACTTTTCTATCTGTAGTGATAAGTAGTGTGAAAAACTTTAAAAAATACATGTTAATTTTAAACGTTTATTAGATTCCAATTAAAATTTAGTGCCTGTTACACAGAATAAGAGAGCAAAAACAAATGCTTTACGATGCTTTAGTAACAAATTTTGATATTTAGCATCAATTTAGTTAAGTTTGACCTTAAATCTCCTCGATTAGTAATGTCCAGTCTATTTTTTCTTTGTTTGGAGATTAGCAATTACGATGAAACACATTTTTACTTGGAAAAGCAATTAAAAACTTGCTCACGACATCCTATAATACAGGATAAATAACAGGTATGTCTTTTTAAAAGCACTTGTGTGTGTGCTATATTAAACATCGAAATAGAAATCGCAAAAAATTGTAATTTATCTGAAATTAATGCATAGAAAAACCCAAATTCTGAACTAAATAAACATGCTTTTAGTAATATTACTAGTTCGTGTTTGTAAATGGTTTCTTTCACCCAGGCTTCTTTGTAGAGAAGTCGGCTCAGACTCTTTTTAATGTTTTCTAAAGCGAACTGGCAGACATACTAAGTATTTAAGTTGAGTATCCGACCAGATTGAAAACATTTTTTCAGATGTTAGATGTTAGGGCCATTCGAAAAAAAGAAAAATAAGTATTGAGAAGAAGAAGGAATAATATATAAAACTGGAGAATTTTAAGTTGTTCTTCTACTATTTACTTCATACAAAAATACTTTTTAAATGATAATTTTTTGAAGAGTGAAATTTTCGGGAAGATTTGTTCACGAAAAATAGGATATCACTAAAACAATCCAATAAAATTCAATGAGATTTTTAATGTTACAAGCCCTTAAGAGTGCAACAAACCACAGGTTTTAAGATAGTTACACTTAAATCACATTTTACAGCCATTTTTAACTTAGAACATAAAGTAATTTTGACAAAAAAAATTATTAACGTCAATTTAAATGTTTATAAAATAATTATTTCTTGAAATATTTTTTACCTTGAGGTTTGCGACACTTCGGATAGTTCAAGAGGTATATTAATGAAATTAAAATTTCACTATGTTGAATCAGTGATGCACACAGGAATTTTTTTTAAGGGGAATTGATAATAATGATATCATTAATGGTTTTGTGCAATGGTGAAAGCTAGAAGAAAACCGTTGTTGCACGAGTACAATGACCGTGAATCAAAAGTCAGGATGGCTAAAAGTAAAAGATAATTAAGAAGTTGAATGATATAAATAAGTTTAAAAAGTTGATAATTAATAAGTTCATACAGTAATGTATACTTTATACTGTAATCTCATACGATGTTATTAATTTACTGTACTTATTTATAAAAGGATGGGAGAGGAGAGGGGTCCTTCGTGATACCGTAGCGAAAGAAATGAACCAGACTGGCCGAACCATGTCACTCTCTTTCCTTAAGGCTGCCTGTTGCCATTCCGGGACACGGCGGATCCATAGGGATGAATAATGGAAGGACTGCACATTAAGAAGACAAAGAAAAGGAAAAGATTAAGAGTGAGGGAAAATCCCCCTCCCAAACCAAAACGGGCAAGATAAGAACTGAAGGAGGGTGAAGGGGTGCTTTGGAGAAAGTGTCAGAGGGAGCAACAATTTGAAGTGCTTAGGGCGCCGGGGAGGTTAAAAACGGGCCGGTGTTACATAATATGTAAAGAAACTATTCCTTTCTTACTTTATCTTTAGAAATTCCAATATGAAAAGTCTGTTATCCATCATGTTTTCAAGATATTTCTTAATGAATAATGTTTCCAAGATAATTATTGAAAGAATGATTTTAAAAAAAAGTTAATTTTCTGTTTGTATAGGATTTTAAAGAAACAATATATTGCTTCTATAGAAATATAAATATAACTTTTAATGAACCAAATTCCTTACACATTTGTTTAACTATTGCATCGATTCTACTTTCGTTATTTTCAAAGATTTAAATTTGAGGTATAAGTTCGAAAATAATAGTTTTATGATCACATAGCAGTTGCATTTTTAAAACCAAAAATTATATTTTTGTTGGAATTTGCGTATCACAGCAAAAAGTATTGGCGACATTACTTACAGCGAACTACTAGGTTGCTGTTTCAGCGCGTACGAGATATGGCGAATTATCGTGAAAGTTGGCATTTTTGCGATGATACGCAAGTATATTTTTGTTATACAATAAATGTAAAAAGAATTTAGATTTTCGAAATTAAGTGGTAAAATTTTTATAAAAAATGTAAATTAAATAATATAAATGATGGAAAAATGAAATTTACAGCTTGGGTATCACATATTTAGATTCCTTTAAATTTGAGTTGATAGTTATTTAAACTCGTAATAGATACAATAGTATCGAAAATAAATACCATACACATACTCATATTTGACCCCATATAAACACATTATCAAGTACATTACATACTCATTTTGTTGTTGCATTCTCAAATTTGATCAACAGATTCAAAAATGAGTACGTGCTTGTTGACAAAAATGAGCATGCGCGTTTCTCAAATTTGAGTATGTTTGCATCGGAGCGATTTTGAGTATGTGACCTATTCAAAAGGGAGTATTTTGTAATCAGTTCTAAATACCGGTTTTTTGCAGTGTAGTGCATCGAAACTGTATACTTCTTTAGGAATATCCCTGTATATGTAAAATGATCAAAAATTTAATTCAATGAAGTAATTAAAAAAACTCTCATTCTTCTAGACTGGAAGGTTTCGAGTTTGTATTCACTTAAATTTAAGAGCAATGGAGAATAACCAACACCAGAACTGAAAAATATTATCTTATATTTAGTGATGAAGAAGAACTGATGATCTGAATGATACTTTGGAAAGCGTACAGAGGATGAGCAGGCTTGCGCACTAATTATAGTTATTAGGGTTTCATTTTAGGGATTCCGTGGAAATTGTTTCATACTTTTTGCATTCCCGAGGAGGAGAAAAGGGACCTCAGATATCTTTTAGGGATCCTAGAAATCAGAGACCCTCTCTCTACTAATGATTTCTTAAAATTATCGAAAACATTTTTTCCCCATACAAATGAATTAAATCAAATTCAGAAGTAGGACAGGGCTATTGCTTGAAAAGTACACATTTCTCAAAAAGTAACGACGTTTGAACATAACTGTTTATTTCAATGGAGGTAAATTTAAGCAAGACGCTAAGTTTGGTAGTGCTCAAGTTAAAAATAATTTAACTTGATTTTAATAATTTTTTAAAGTGCAACCTTTAACCCCCATTGCCCAGTTCACTAGAAACATCTTCGATATCCTCTTTCACCCTCAGTGCAGTCGTTGCGTGTCGCCGTGTTCTAATTATAAAATAATGTTTGTGTTCAGTATTGAACAAATAATTCTTGTGACGCCCACAAGTGAATATTTATCGCGAGAGGGCACTAGTGTGTGTTGTGCAGTGTATGTGTAAAGAGGAGTAAGAGCAAAAGCGTTGGAGAACGCTCTAATAAAATTCTTTTATCTTAGTCCTAGCCATTTAATGTGTGGTGTCATCTTTTAGGTATTTTAAATAATGAACAGAAAACTAGAGCACAAACAGTCTGTTTAATATTACTTGTATGCTTTAAATTATAAAATGTCCTTAAAATTCATTAATTTTGGTGTAAAATTTGTTTTTGTTGTTTATAAAGTGAATTAAAAGATGAACCTCTACATAACGAATTTTCCATATAACGAACTATTTTCCGGGATTTAGCGATTTCGTTATATAAAGGTCCGACTGTATATACATATGACAGAATCACAATATTGAGTGACAAAAGAGAAAACGATTTTCCATTTTATATAGCGTGTTGGACTATTTTTTGTTTGTTACATTTATTCATTAATTAAATTTAATTGTTCTAATAAACTAGTATAGTAAAAAATAAATCACATTTCCAGAAATTAGGCTATCCCAGGTGGGATTCGAGCCCACAGCCTTTGGATTAAAGGTCCAACACTCTATCCATTGTGCTACAGGGACACAGCAAATGATTTTCCTTTCTATATATGCTGTTTGACTACTATTTTTGTTCATTATTTATTCATTTTTTAATTTAATTGATGAATGAATATTTGAAAAAAAACTGTATTAACATCAAGTGTCCTCACTACAAGTTGATTAAAAATTTGTACTATATATATAGGAGTGGATTACAAAATTTTAGGTGTGAGTGTTCATTAACGTCCCATTGTAAAACAACACGAGGGATATTGGTGTCTCACCACGATTAAGTGACGAGAATGACACCTGAGCTGACATTCCCTCTTCAAATTACCACGCCAACGGGAGGAGTTTGACCAACCTAGATTTAACCGACATCACCCCTCGACACAATGGATCTTCAGTGGCACTAGATTCGTGAAAATAATGTATATGCGTTTTGAAAACTTCTCCATAAGTACAATGAGAAATGTTTTCGTGTGGTAGTTAATTAGTTATTTTGTTTGGGGGATTTCCGTATTTCTAAAAATGCATGTTTCTAAGAGGATTTTTATGCGGACCCTCTCCGCAACAAAAAAAAAAAATTCTGTAGCATGTCGACAGATTTGTTTGGTTTGTGGAAGTGTTTATGAAATTTCGGAATATTTTTTTTGTCTGCGGTTTTTTTATGCGGTTCTATCTACCGCACAAAAGCAAATTTTAATGAGTAATTCCGCATTTTTCTTTGATTCTACAGGTATTGGATTTCATTCATCAGTTGAATGGCTAAAATTTCCTGCCTATGACTGTATAAGTTTCATTTCTAATACATAAAATAGTTTCTGAAATGTTTTAATTTGTGAACTTTCGATGTCTGGGTAAACATGTCGGTTTCCACGGAAACGCGAGGGTGTTAGCCCCCAAACGACTTGAATCACTCTTGGGATGAGAATGCCATTTCTCTCTTTCATAGAAATGAATTATTTCCCCGTCATTTTTATTAAGAATTAAAAGACCAGAGAAAAAAAATGTTTGAAGAAAAAGAGTCGGAAAAAAGACAGACGGAGGAAATCTTGGCCGTTCTAAATAATGAAATATATTTAAATTGTCCAGAAAATTAGGTTTTACCGATTTTGAAGTATTTTAAACTTGGGGTTAAATATAAGTTTCTCTAAAAAAGTGTATACTATTAGATGGTTAATTCTAAAACAAGTTAAATTTTTTTTTTGAGGAATCGTTTGTAATTTTTTTTTATTGCAAATTGATACTAGTAGGCTCCTTTCTTCAAATTTTTTTTTCTTTTCTACCTGTGTGGTTAAATGAGGCTCTATTACATAAGAGTATGTGCCCAGATTGATTTCATATTATCATTTTATGGTAAAATATTGTAAAATTTTTTATTTTTTTTTTTTCCCACTTTTTACCAAAAGCGCCTTTTTCCCTTTTTGGGTTTTGTTTAAAAAGGGCATCCCAAAATTAATTTGAATTATTTCCCGCTTAAAATAAAAATCGAAAAGGCATCGATCCTTTAGCTATGTCTTATTCACAGCCAGAAGTAGAAATAGGGCATTCGCATTGATTTTGTCAACGAACATTAAAATCATTTATTAAATTATAATTTTTTAAATTTCAGTCAGACATTAGCCTTCTTTGTTTCTAGACAATGAAGGCACACACATAAGTGGGCTAATTCATTGCAATGGGTCGAATTTTCGAAAATATTACGAATGAAAAGGTTCATCTTTAGAGCTACCTCATTGAACGAAAAGCCCTCTGACCCAAATAATTGCATTACAATTATAAACAGAATATCGATAGCATTTTCTTATTCAATAACTACATAGGTTGTTTTCTGACTTTTTTCTCGTGATCTGTTTTAGCAGTAATAATTTAATTCATGGGCTCCTTATCCAGAAACACGAGGCGCTTTGAAGTTACACGAGAGCGCTGTTGGCGACGGACCACTAAGTACTGAGTGACAGGAACTTTTTAACGATTTAGAAAAGCCAAGAGTGGTGGAAGAAAAACATTTTATTCCTAGTAGTTGAAACCTTAAAATTTAGCATTTCAGAAACGGTAATGGAACTCTATTTTTTAAAAAATGCGTCCTTTAGATGCTATCCTCATGTACAAATGCATTCTTGAAATTTGCAGTTGAGATTCCTCCCAAGCCAATCCAACATGTCTAAAGAGTACGAGCACTTCTTGTTTATTCAGTTGGTTTCTTTTTTGGAGCAGATGCAACCTCTTTAAACTTATTACTCCAACTTTTCCTGGCGTGTTTTGAGAGATGGGACTTTCTAACATCCTAATTTGTAAATACGTCAGAACTTCCTGTGTGGTTTCCCGACTATCACTGTTTTTATAGAACATTTTTATAGCTGATGCCCACTCCATTGATCCATGGTTACTAAAAAGCGAAGTAGTCAAGCTCTGTGTCGCGCAGTGCCTCCCCTGCTCATGGCTGTCACCATGCATTTAAAAAATTCCCGTTATTCTGTGTCACACTGTACAAGTGACGAAACACTTTGCGGCACGAAGACTAGAGAGCAACAGCGAGTTCTCGGCTACTACGTCTACTTTAGTATCAAAACATTTAGCAGGTTATTTTGAGGTTTTATAGAAATGGCTAACATCGAAAAGATGGTCTTTTCTCATGAATCCGTTTCTAGAATTCGAAACAATAAACAGAAAGAAATTTAATTTTTTAATCTTTTTATGTCCTTTGTGAAAATTGTTAACAAGGCAGCATTCTATTGTTAGTCGTAGTAGACCGTAATTAATAAATATCAATATTTTCACGATGTTTTGATGGCTTTTCAACAGTTATTGCAGAAAACAGTTATAGGTGGGGTAATACGGTTAAAATGAAAAGTTACGTCATAAAAGCACTGGAATATTGGAATACTTAAGCAACCATTCTGAAGAATGAAGTTGCAATTGAATGTATTGAAAAAATGTTATTTGAATGTCAAATTCATGAATATGTGTCCAAACATTTTAAAGTATTCCTCACCAACAACGTCTAAACTTCCAAATAATTTTACAAAGCAAACATAGCTTAAAATGTTTTCAGGTCAATCAAATAAACATTTAAATCCGGGCAGTTTTTCAAAAAAATAAAAGTTGTATTTTAATCACATTTTGGATATTTATTTGGAAATAAACTAAACTAAAATATCAATTTAAAGGAAAAAATTGGTGAAAATTTGATTCAAGTTTTTATTTAGTCAATTAAAAGCTTTAATTTTGATTTTTTATTAAAAAGAAAATTTCTCACTCATAAGTTTTAAGTAATCTACGAAGGAACAAACACCGACATTTTTACAAAATCGATTACTTTATATTTTTTTTCTTTACTTCTTTGAGTTGGAATTACATCATGCTTTAATTTTTCTACAATATCGTTAATAGTTATATTCTGTCAATAAAAAGGTACAATGTTAAATTTTAAAATTGAAAATTATGATTAAATGATAAGTACGAAAGTATTTACATGTTACCAGCAAAGTTTGAAATCCGTCATTAAAAAGAATGTCAAAAGCTAATCAACAGTGTTTGAAATAATTAATATTTCACACATTTCCTGAACATTCTATGGAAAAGGCCAAATGACTGAAGTATTCTGAAAAAAGTGATATTGTTTTACAAATATATTCCACCAGTAAAAGAAAGAAATAAAGTTTGGAAAGGTTAAACATATCGAAAGAAATCAATACGTACACATACTTATATACGCTATTGAAAATAAAATGCACTTAAATAATGGATCAGCAGCAAAATGTTCAGTTGTAATTTATTGAAAAATTTTTCTTAACATCACAAATAAATTTCCACTCGGTGACATTTCATGTCTCGTATATTTTAAACTTTTGCGATTATAAAAAATGTTAATTTTAACATTATAAAGAAATATAAAATAATTTTATTTCAGGAAATCATTTCTTAAAAGTGTCCTTTTGTAAAATTTTCATTTCATCATTATCAAAAAAGACATTTCAGGAAAGATTTAGGGTTAAAATGTGTCCATATAAAAATATTTCAAGACACATATTGATGGAAAAACCTAACACAGAACATGACATATTTAAATAATGAAATGAAAGAACACTAATTTATAATGCATACATTATAAATTAATTTTAAATAAAAACACAGCCGGATTGACAGTTGAGTTTCTAAAACAAAAACAAATTAAAGTGATAGAACATCCACCTTATTTCTGGATCTAGCTATGTGTAACTTTTGGTTATTTTTTAATCCAAAAAAGAACTTACGAGGACATCGTTTCCATTGAAAAATCCGTCGTTCAGAAGAGATTGATGTGGCTATAAATGCATTTTTTCCCCATCAATTCCAAGAAATGAATGGTTTGAGGCATTTAATCAGTGGAAAATTCGTCTACAAAAGTGCATTGATGCTGGAGGAGATTACTTGAACACTCCTAAATTTTGTAAGTATAACTTTAAAAAGCTAGGAGTATCTCAAAAATTTCAGAGTGACCCTCGTATGCAGCAAACTGGTTTACAATGTTTTTCCGAAGAGAGTCCCGGGAGGTCATACGTGTTGGCCAGACCTGTTATAAAAGAATACAACGCAAATGGGGGTATAAAAAAATTAAAACTTGCCAACTTTCAAAAAAAAATCTCTTAAGTATGTTATAGAGCCCTTTTACTACACGTCCATCTAACATTTCACATATGTTCAGTCAAATGACTCAAAGTTATAACAATCTTTCAACTAATATTTGCAAATGTGAAAATTAATTTTCAAGTGAAGCCTTTGTACAAAGCTTACTGAAAACTTTAACAACTGTAAGGCATAAAGATTTCTTAGAAGAAAATAATTAAAATTTAATTTTGAAAAATAAACTGTTAAAAATATATAAATATAAAACTTCAAATTTTGGGAGACCAGAATGTGTGTAAAAGTGTTTTTAAAGAACAAATGTGAGAAAAAATTTTCAGAAATTGCACACACATAAAGATTTTCATTGGTTGATAAGTAAATATGCCTTTTAACATAACAAATTCGAAAGAAAGCGATGTTGGATATATCAT